GTAAGTTTGATTACGTTGCATTTGACCAAGGCCTTGAGTTCGGTATAGTTCATTATGGTTATCATAATCACATCAGGAGTAGATAATAGAGATCTATATTATCTACTCCTGATCACATGTATATCTGTATATCTGTATGGCAATGAGGTATCAAATCACTGACTGGAAGATTCCCAAATAATGTGTGGTTGAAAAGAGTATAAAAAACAGTGTCATATAATTCATTGTCGTCATGTTGGAAAAAGTTCTAAAATACCAATGATAATATTTATTACCAGAGTCTTATACTCCCTTTCTCGTTCCTTCCTCCCTCTCTCGCGTGAGCGCTTTCTATGACTCTCTGTCTACCTGTCGCACTCTCTTCCTGTCTCACTCTCACTCTTCCTCTCTCTTTCAAACTTAGTTTTAGTTCTCGCCCTCCGTCTTACACTACCCGCCCACACACACATTAGCTCCCCATCTTTTTATCACAGTAGGAATTAGGGGTGACCGCAGTTGTATGAGATTGTTGCTTTTAATTTACCGCATTGTGTGCATGATTCGTTTACAGTAGCTCTTATCCAACAGTAACTAGTATTTAATGGCAGAAAACTGTCAAATCATAATCTATGTTCAGGATTAGAATACTGATGCATTTTATAGACGTGTCCGTGACTAGGCACGCGTCGCCCTTCTCTCTAATATCTCTCTATAATTGGCAGTTGTTGTTGCTTTTAACATTTTTTGGAATCGCTTACCTATAACTCAATTAATATGTTAACCAAACAAATTACTTGAACGGGACTATCCTTGCTGTTGCAGTAGGAGTTATGCAGAGCAAGATTATGAATAGCATTGCTATTCACAAGTGTCTGAGTATATGTCAAGGCCAATAATGAATTCAACTTTATTATTAGACCAATTATCTAGTTTTATATAGGCATTATCACTGCTTTATTTTAATTGGAATAGAAAAATTCGTTTTCAGGCTGCATATAAAAAGGCTCAGCGTAAAGAGAGGTGATTATTTATGTACAATATTCATGTATAGACTATATAGGCCCACTAATATGGATGTCTTTCCGTGTGGGAGGTGGTTATGAGGGAATAGTGGCGAGAATGCGTGTTCATCTGGTCGTGTTGTGTACCTCATATGTTCAGGTAACGGACGATTATATTTGTTGTAGGTATGGTCATGGATCTTGTATAACGTTGATCTCGTTCCACTCGACATGAACAGTCAGCAAAATCATTAACAGTGGCGGTATCGCAGTGTCGTAGCCTGAACAAATCCCTGGGATTTTGTGTCACTCAACAGAGTAATGACGAGAAAATATCATCGAGTCATGCTGACAGAATAGTTTTTGGAATCCGAGGACGCTTGCTCCTAAAGCTGAAGAAAACGTTCCATAATCCCTGACGTTAGGTGAATTTCCGTTTCCTAATGTTGGCGAGTTGGCAACAGCGGCGGGGATAGGTTTGGGGGTAGTCCCGGATTTCTTGGGCTTTTGACTGCGAAATAGGCCCGGGAATTTTCTTCTTTCTAATATCATGTTTTTTATAGGTTTCACATATCACATTTTAATAGAAGTTAAATCTGTACAAAACCAGGAAAATAATTTATGAGAAAACTGAGGCCTGAAGATAATTTGTCAGAAATTCATATAAAATTTCAAATTGACGAGGCCGCCTGTGAAATAAAATACATTTTTTTAAAGAAATGCTTCAAGAAATAAACCAAGGTGTGATGAGATTACATAGAAATAAATACATTTTATGATTATTAATACTTCTTACGTTTTTCCTTCTCAAATGTAGCTGCCCTGTTGTCCACCCCACACCTCTGGCTATAGTCCTGATCTATTTGCTGAACTGAACAATTTTTACTTCTGTGGGAAACGTGCACTATCAACGTCGAATAATCGTTATTGACTAGCTACGTTTAAAAAACAGAAATTTTGTTGATTTAGGCCTACCTCATTGTCGCGTCTCACCAAGTATATATCGATTTCCCGCGCCCGTCGCTGTCTAGCGCATGTGTCGCCATCATGACTCGGCAGCACTTCGATATTTCTGCTATCATTCGTAAGGTCAACGGCATGACTCTCGTATGGAAAAGGGCATTTGAAGAGTAAAGACGCGGTTGTGTGGCAGGCACCACGTGCGCTAATCGTAACGTCGACTAGTGACGTCACGCGATACGTTAGACGTAATTATGATTGTTCGGCTCAACGCTGCTATCATGTGACGTCATGTGCCCGTATATGACGTTATACGAATCCGAGGAGAGGTTTATACCGTTTAAAAATGTAAAGGTTAATTTTTAATATTCTATTAATATATACGTGTTTATTTATTTAGATTGCGTTTATGTGTTTTGGTGCAATGACAAACGTACATGCGCGGCCCCTCTCGAAAAGGCCACGCGGGTGCGTTCTCAATAGATCGTCTGACATAGCATGTTTCCTCCGGAATATGTGCAATCAGAGAGGAGGACCGCCCCAGTTGACGATATAATTCCGCATGACAGCTACGTGTGCGCGACATGCTTCCGCGCATGCTCGGCATTTGCCCAAATAAATGATCGATTCAATATTATGTAATGAAATCCTGGTACACATGGCACGGAAAATGTTTTGCCTAAATATTTTTTGTAATCTCATTTCTAATTTTAATTATCTGACATTCTAATAACCCGAATGTGCTCGATTTAATGGGAAGTGGCTCACAGCACATAGTGTGCTTCTGAATACGTACGATTAAATAATTAGTCAACACGTAGTGCAGCATTTGAGATCTATATTCCAAGGTTGGGAATAAGCCGATTTTTTTGTACACAAGACGCAATATTAACGAGATTTACAATTCATGCCGTAGACCGCAGGTATTAAAGAAGCTCTGACTAAATAGATTAGATGTCATAAAACGTGCGTTTTTGAAGCATCTGGCTCAACCAGTCGACGATGCGTGTATATTAGGATAACTGAGGTGCTTGTCTAACAGAACATTCTGAAGTAGTGCGACGTTGTAATTATGAATAATGTCACGGCAAGCAAAAATGGCACGTGATTTATTATGTACTCGTGGTATGCGTGTGTAATTGCGTGCGTGCGTACGGTGGCCCATATAAACAAAACACAAGCACGCAAGCACGCATGTACGCATGTACGCAAACACAAGTACGCAAGCAAACAGCAAGTTGCAAAACGGAAATTGGTGGTAGGGTGGGGTGAGGGGGTGGGGTGAGAGGGGGCGAGGGGTGACGGGGCTGACGGGGGCCGCTACTATTTCCGTTTAGGAAACTTGTATTTGCTGCGATAATTAGTTGCTTTGCCAATGTTTACTTGCGAACATGTGTTGCGTTCAAATGAAGTTGTCTTGAAAATGTGTTTGTCTTGAAAATTATTTGCTTCGTCTCGAACTTTATATGTTTGCCAACATGCTAACCTGCGTACTTGTGTTTTGTTCATATGGGCCACCGTACGTGCGTGCATGTGTGCGTGCGTGTATGTGAGAAAATCCGCCGGTTAATTTCAGCAATTGTTCTTCTGCAACGCATTTAATCTCTGGATGAAGCATCTAAAGCCTGGCGCACACGCACGCTATGCTACGGTTTTAGTCGGCGGATTTTATCGCAGGAAATAATCGATGTATCTCGTACACGCTACGCCGTGTGCGCTGGTTAATGATTAAAATCAGGATAAATATTGCGAGATCGATCGTGTGACTTTGGCATTGACATTGGCATTGTTATTAAGAGCATCGGCGATAACTTTTAATGCATGCATGTGCCCTGGCGCACAAGTTAAAGCCTGACGCACACGTTACTGTTTTCTCGTACGACATTTTCGGAGCGTGTGCGGTCTCATATATTATCCTGCAATTTTTACCCTGCGCGTTTTCCCGCTACTGATCGGAGCATATCAAACTGGTTTGATATCTAGCGATAAAAATCCCACGGATAAAATCGGATCGTAGCGTGTGTGGTGTTCAACGGAAACCCCCGGCTACACGGGCCAATCAGCATCGAGCAAAAATCACATGATCGACAAAATGGCAGCGTCCATTGAAGCCGTAGACTGGTACTCGCTCCCACCTCGATTACTCGATCCCATCGAGTAACTAAGCCAAGAGGTGGGAGCGAGTACCAGTCTATTGAAGCCGCGCATTTTTTGGGACGACGAAAAGGAAGCATTATACTTGTTGATACGTGGTCGCAGCATAAATGTTTCTCTGACACAACATCATCTGAATACAAAGACCGCAATAAGAGATCACATGCGTTAAAAGTCATCGCTGATGCTCTTAATAACACTGCCAATGCCAAAGTCATATGATCGATCTCGATTTTAATCCGTATAACCACTTTTACCAGCACACATGGCGTAGCGTGTGCGGGATACATCGATTATTTCCTGCGATAAAATCCGGTGACTAAAACATAGCATAGTTTGCGTGTACGCCAGGCTTAAGCCCTCTTGATATTTAGAAGTATACTATGGGCAGGAATACATAAAGAGTGCTGTTCTAAACGAACGAGCAATAATATCTGCAATATTTCATGCAGCCACAGCCTGCCAGTTCCAAGCATACAACGCATTTCACGCAAGGCTATTCATGCAAAGCTGAATTCATTATTGCTAGTCCAGCACAGCGGATGGCCACACAATCGCTAATAAATCCTGCTGTTGGACGACGTATATATATCTACTTTAGCATTATTTGAAAAAGGCTGTAATTAAGGTATAAGATGGGTCGCTCATAAGCTCGGCGCAGTATTTATTTCCACTAATTTCCCAAGCGGAATTATGTTTCAGTATGCGGTTAGTCACGTGGCAACTGTGATAAACTTCAACTGAGCCTACCGCACTACGGCGGATAGGGTCTATGTCCCCCGGGGTACTGCCGGAACGTACCCTGGTAACTATCTGATATGGTTAGGGTTAGGGTTAGGGTTAGGGTTAGGGAGTAGGCGTAGGCGACTATCTACACATCTGGCATCATTCACATTTCACAGCTTCATGCTTTCCACTGAGAATCGTTTCTCGGTGTTAGACCAGGACACCTCCATAGCATCAATGGACTTCGCTTTTCACCCACAGTTTGTTAGTTCACCATTTGATCTAAAGTCGGCTTCGAGGAGATTTTCATCTACCGCACCCAGTAACCATGAACCTACGAGCGAAATGGACATCGACCAACCCACGTTCAACACTCCTACAAATTGGCGAACCATGATCCTCAATTGTGAGGGGATCAAAAGCAAAACGGCAAATTTTGTTGCTGCGGTGGACTATGTTCAACCTGACGTGATTTTGGGCTGCGAGTCGAAACTTGATAGCTCGATTCAATCTGCAGAAAAATTCCCCACAGGATATACGGTCTTCCGCAAAGACCGCACCCTCCATGGTGGAGGTGTGTTTATTGCAATCAAAGCTTGCTACGCGGACTATTGCGAAGAGCTGAAGGTGGCTGATACCGATGCCGAAATCATCTGGGTAAAAGTCACCATGCAGAACGCTAAATCCCTGGTGATGGGTAGTTTTTACCGCCCACCGGATGAAAATGCTGAGAAGCTAGAACAGCTCGATCTTTCCCTCCAAAACCTTCCGCCTCGTTGCCACGACAAAACCATCCACCTGGGTGGCGATTTCAACGCAAGCGGCATCGACTGGGATCTCAATTCCGTCGCCCAAGGTGCTGACCATCCAGGCGTTTGTCACAAACTTCTGGAAATCCAAGCGGATCACTCCCTATCCCAGCTACAGCTTGAATCTACCAGGGGAAAAAATAACTTGGACTTATTTTTTACGAACAACTCGTCCCTGGTCAAGTCGGTTCAAACTGCTCCGTGGATCGGCGACCATGACATGTCGTGGTGGAAGCGGACATTAAACCTATGCGTACCACCGCACTACCAAGATCAGTCCCACAGTTCAGGAAGGCAGATTGGCCGACGATCAGAGAAGCAGTAACCCAGTTACAGTCCGACATTCTGGACCATGATAAATTTGAGCAGAACTCCGTAAACGAAAACTGGGAACTCTTTAAGCTTGGGCTACTAGACATCACAAAGCGTCTCATCCCTCATTCTACTGCCAGGAAGCCGAACAGTTTACCCTGGTTTGACAATCACATCAGGAAAGCTGTACTCAAGAAACAACGTCTCTTCTACCTCGCCAAGAGAAAACCCTCGGACAAGTCCCGTGCGTGTTACAAGGCTCAGAAGGTACTCGTCCGGAAACTTATCTACTCAGCACACCGGAGATACATCACCAATATTCTGGATCCAAGCCTGAGTCAGCATAATCCCAAAGCTTTTTGGCGTTACATTAAGTCAAAGAGGAATGACGGCTCAGGTGTTTCCCCAATTCGTGAAGGCAGCAGGCTAGTTAGCGACCCTCGTACTAAGGCCGAACTTTTAAATAAACATGCAGTTTCAATCAGCCTTCACCAAGGAGGATACAGAGAACGTTCCGTCACCACGTGGTGAGACATACCCAGCTATGTTAGACCTGGTGATAAGCGTCCACGGAGTCGAGTTGTTACTTCAACGTCTAAATCCGTCGAAGGCCAGTGGCCCAGACTACATTGCTAATAGGCTACTCAAGGAAGCAGCACATGAGATTGCCCCAATACTCACTGCAATATTCCAACAATCCTATGATCGGGGTGAACTACCAGCAGATTGGAAGGAAGCCAGGGTTACCCCAGTATTCAAGAAAGGTGACCGGAATGCCAGTGAGAATTACCGACCAGTATCATTAACCTGTGTGTCGTGCAAACTTATGGAGCACGTCGTAAGCCGCCATATCATGGACCACCTTGATCGCTATGAGATCCTCTCACCCTACCAGCATGGCTTCCGTAAGCTTCACTCATGCGCTTCTCAGCTCCTGATGACCACCCACGACTTCTTGAGTTCCTTTGATCGTAAGGTTCAGGTGGATGTTGCAGTATTAGACTTTAGTAAAGCTTTTGACACCGTACCCCACCTGCGACTCATGAAGAAATTACATCAGTATGGCATCAGGGACACAAGCTTAACATGGATCAAGGAGTTTCTCAGCGACCGGACCCAACAAGTCGTCATTGATGGAGTCTCATCGGAAAAGGTGAAGGTGGAGTCTGGGGTACCTCAAGGCACTGTCTTGGGCCCTCTACTCTTCTTACTCCACATTAATGACCTTCCTGACGCCGTCGTATCCCAAGTGAGGCTATTCGCCGACGACTGCCTGATCTACAAAGAGATCCGATCGATCGCTGACCAGATAGAGCTCCAGCGGGACCTGGAACGCCTTCACGACTGGGCATCAACTTGGGGCATGCGATTCAATACAAAGAAGTGTAACATAATCCGAATCCATCGACGAGCTGGTACCCCATTGTCCTTCTTCTACGAGCTGGATAAGCACATCTTAGAGGAAGTGACCACCACCAAGTACCTCGGCCTGAACTTCTCTTCCAACCTAAAATGGGACGACCACATCAGTGCGATTTGCGCAAAGGCCAACAGCACACTCGGTTTTCTACGCCGCAACTTGAAATTTGCTCCAAAAACACTCAAAGAGGTTGCATACAAGTCATTAGTTCGCTCAAAATTGGAATTTGCATCTATTGTTTGGGATCCGTTCCTGGTCAAAAACATTGATAATTTGGAAAAAGTACAGAGAAGGGCAGCCAGGTTCGTATGTAGAGACTACCGGCGTGACAGTAGCGTTACTGAAATGCTAGGAACTCTGAATTGGCCTTCTCTTGCTCAGCGGCGGAGCGATCATCGCATAGCATTCATGAAGAAGATAATGTCTTCTTCAGTGGCGGTACCAGCAGATCAGTATACCAAACCTGGACCCCAGCGAACACGCAGTAAGAACAGTCAGAAACTTCAAACAGTGCGAGTCAACACCGAAGAGTTTCGCCATTCCTTCTTCCCGAGAACTATTCAACAGTGGAACCAGCGTACTGAGGCCGAGATAGACCTTATCTGTTTCACTGCCGCTGACGACAACATCTAAGCGCACACCTCCCTGCGTTATTATCCACGTAACCGTGGGCTACGCAGTAAACTATCCAGATCCAGATCCAGATCTAGACTCGTTAGTGGAGTAGGCGAGGTACGGTCCGGCATATTAGATAGTACCAGGGTATGTTCCGGTAGTACCGTAGTACCCTAAGGGACATAGACCTTCTCAGCCGCACTACGTAACCATTTTCTAGTCGTTAACAGCGCTCATAGCGCAAGCTAGCAGTGAGAATCCCTTCTATCCACACAGGTCGTCTTTGCTGCGTGATCGTCACGACGCCTATGACAAATTATGAACAATTCCCTAAGTGAGGGGCGGCGACACGTTTTTGGACCGGGGCTAGAGAAAGATTAGCACCCGGGTAGCGGAACGTGAGTTTAGACTTGATATAAGGAAAGGACAATCTTTACCAAAATTATTTATTCAGTAGGGGAGACCGAGGACAATTGTAACACTTTTTTCCAAATCTGACATAACAACTTTATTATAGTTAAATACTTACTTCAAGGTATATGAAATTAAAGATGCATATCTTGGCTTGAAATATGACTAGGTTTGGGTTAAGTAAAACAAGTTATTTTGAAGCCATTATCATTTCAAAACTGGAAGTCAAGTGTTACAATTGCCACACAACACGGGGCAATTGTAACACACCAATGGGGCAATTGTAACACATACAATTGTACCAACAAATCATATCCCTCAGGCCTATATTTGGTAAAAGTTTCATTGACGAATACTAATGCTAAGATTAAAAAACAGCCCCCAAATGATGGCCGTCTCCTCGGGGGCAAATGTAACAACGTGTTACAATTGCCCCTTGGCATGTATAAAAAGTATGTGTTTTACAAAATGTGTTTTGTTTATAAGGCAAAAAAGTTGCCTATCTATAAGCTCAGACATGCGAACTACATAACTTTGAATTAATGGGTCTGTAAATATGTTTTGTTCACAAGGCAATAAGTAGCCTATTTATATATTTTATTCATATGTAAATGAGTCAAGCATTCGTCATAGTTTTTATTAAAAATTTTTTATTGTGGTTCTATAAATTGCTGTTTAATTGTTGAAAATCTGTCCAACGTGTCACCTTTATAAAAAATATAAAAAATCTTTCTAAAAAACCTATTTTTTTATGATATACAAATGACAGTGATAGCTCAAGTACATATATTTGTCAGAAAAAAAACATTAGGTAATTCGAGATTTTACTTACCTGCTAAAAAAACGATGTTTTGGCTGTCAAATGTTCCTCGATGCGTAAACCTGCCTACCCTCAGGACAGCATGTGGGTCAATGAAATGTGCATGCGCTGTGAAGAGCGTATACATATAGCACGTTTGTACTAGGAATGAGGGCCTCTGTTACATTTGCCCCGTGTTACAATTGTCCCCGGTCTCCCCTAGTAAATATATAATACAAATTGTGTAAATCCCATTATCTGTGCTATTTGAATGAAGAAGTGCATGAGATATAGATTGATAGATGAGTGGCTTTTAAACAAGGACCTATTTACTTTAAAATTGTTAATGGCAATGACGCGTAGGACAACTTATATCGGCCGGTATAGCATTTGGTCAAAAGCCTATATGTTGCCATAGATATTCTGATATAGAGATTCTCTATTCTATATCCAGATGTTGTTGCCGACCCCTGCTCTAAGAGAACCACGCCGATGTGAAAATATATGTAATGTATGTGTTTTGATAGGATTTCTCACACAGGAACTAATACCTCTCCCTTGGTCGATACGTGCAGTATATAAATGCTCCAGGGGTCATTCACAATTGTGAAAAATGATCACCGGCGTACGCGCGCGCGGGGGACAACGGCCGCGCTGTTCTCAGAAACACAAATAAATAGATCAATTCATATACTACATTCCCGTCAAATCTGACAGATAATCATTTTATTTTGTAGTGTTTTGTAGGAGAGTCTCCTGAAAATGCTCTGCACGCTTATAATAATGTTGACAACTGTAAACGGTCCCTTACAGTGCAACACACAAGAACAATTTCCAAAGATGTAGCCAGACAGATGTGATGGCGTAGCGCCATCTATCAGGTATTTTGTCATTTTCCGACGTCCACCAGTGTCCACATAGAAACAAGAGTAACAACAATTATAATACCAAAATTACTACTATTAATTAACGAGATAAATAAAAATTTAAAACGTTTCGGCATTTACGCAAGAATTAAAAAACGTAATGTGTATCATAAACTGTAATAATCAAAATCGAAAATATCTCCAGATTTTAATAAACTAAAATTACAAATAACCGTAGTATTGGTTCTTTGGGGGTTGCAAATTAATAACGTTTGCCTTATAATATATTCAGATAATACAATTACTACTATGTCTAAAAGTGCACGGGCGTGCCATTTATTTTGTGATTATATTCGTACAACAAGAGGAAGAGATAGATACGAAAAGTTGCTTTTCGCTAAAATGATTGTGCCACGTGGCCAGTGCGCGTGCCACCTGTACATTTCTTTCTAAAAGCAATCATCAAAAAGTAGCATGTTGATATATATATATATATATATATGACAAAATCGTACTTGATGCACTTTAGCGCGCACACACGAACGCACGTACACAAACATACATACATTTAGCAATGGTACAGCATAAAATGGTACAGCATAAAATGGTAGAAAATAACATTATTGAAGTATTTCTTTTGTCTGTTCTGTGTTCTTTGTGTCTGTGGAGACAAGAAATTACCGCATGCAGTCATGAGTTGCGCAGCCGAGAGGTGGCGCGGGGGGCTCAATGTTTTGCTTGAGTTGCTCTATGCTTGACCTGTTATATGTTATATGATATACATGAAATATGAATATATGTAATTTCTACTGATTACCTAGTGCATTATTTCTATGCTTGTATTCATCTGTGAAGTCACTCTAGATGAGATTGTGATAACGAATATTTTCGATCTTATATGTAATGCAGGTTTCCCTAGTTCATGTATGTAGCGTACGTGCGAGCGCGTGTGTAGATGTGCGCGTGCGCAAGCGCGTGCCCGTGTGTATGCGTGCAAGCCCTGGGCGCGCACGCGTGCGGCACTTCGCCTCAGGTTTCTTTTCCTATACTCACTTTCTTTCGCCCTTCTCCCTTGACTCTCTATTGTGCGCTCTCGTATGCTTTCACTCCACATTCTTCTCTATTAGTTGGATCTCTCTCGCCCTCTTTCTGTCTATCTCTCTAGATTCACTCATCTCCCTCGCCATTTTCTCTTCCCCTCATTCCATCTCTATCGCACTGTCTCTCTCGATTTATATCTCTTTCTCGCCATATTCACTGCACCTCTCTCTAGCCCCTGTCCCTTTCCCTCTCGAGCCTTTACTTTCTCTTTCCATTTGCTCGTCTCTATATCACTTTGCCTCGTTTGATGGCATTTCCTCAAACACTTATCTTCCCACCCAGCCCCTGTCTCTTTCGGTCGTTTTTCTTCCTTTCCTTCCTTTCTCTTCTCTCTCTATCTCTCTTATCTCTCTCTCTCTCTCTCTCTCTCTCTCTCTCTCTCTCTCTCTCTATATATATATATCCCCTGTCTTTCGCGATCCCTATCAATTTCTCGTACATATATATATGCACTGCCTGCTGAATAGATGTCGAGGCTCTGTGTGTATTTCCTGCTGTGACGGATTGTGGGTGGTAACTTGTCTACCAACGTTTATCCCTCCCTCCCGCGCAACAACTGCATGTGTACAGAGCGCTATTGCATAAGTCACTCGGCGGACGTTGTGTTTATACCACTGCTCCTGTTATGCTGCTCTTAAATGTCAACATCAGACAGATCTCCCTTGTCAAAATAATCCAGTGAAAACAAATAATGCAAAAGGCGTCTATTCATCCGGGTCGTAGCGAGGGTGAGGGTTAGTATGAGAAGCTAGGGAGGGGGGGGTCGATGGTAAGAGTTAGCGTGCATGTGTAGTAAGAGTTAGCGTGTGGATGATGGTGGGGACTATTGTGTGAAGATAAGAGTGAGACGTTAAAGTAATCACGTCACCGTAAATAGTAAAAGTAAAAAAAATATTTCCACAAAATGTAAGTAGTTCTGTTCACTTTTTTGCTGCCTTATACTTCCTATTTTACTATACTGTTCGATGTAAACATACACTCGTGACTCATACATGGCCCATACTAGCAATTAATGTCAGGGTCATAATATCAAATCTTCCAGGTTTTTATTTTTATTTTTAACTAGTTGAGAAACAATCATATCAGGTAAGAATTTGACGATACATTTAGTCCCGTTAGTACTTACTTTTAATGTAAAAAATGGCGACAAGTTTTTTACAAATATACACCATAGAAAATTCGTGACGTAGTCAATTTAAAGCCGCACTATGCGCATCTACACGCTTCAATCTACATCTACACGCTAGCAAATACTTCGTGTCATGCATAATCATACTACCTTATGACAAAATAAACTCTAGTTCCTACCATTTCACTGCGCGTTGTCTTATAAAAGGCATTTGAAAATATATTGTTCAAATTCTCCGATGTTGTTGACACTTTCGCGTTACCCTGCCAAGCAACCGCACAGCGGTGCTGCGGTACAGCGGTACAGGTGTAGCGAAGATTAAAACCTTTTAACTACACCTAACCGTTTCTTGGCGAAATTGTTTGGCTATTAAACAATTTAGCGTTGGCGCCAGATTACCAGATTTCGCACCTCTTTCTTGTGGGTTTTAAGCAAACGCGCAGTGAAATGGCAGGAACTAGAGTTTATTTTGTCATAAGGTAGTATGATTATGCGTGGCACGAAGTATTTGCTAGTCTAGTACTGGAGAAATTTGCGTTTGGATGCGCATAGTGCGGCTTTAAGGTGAGATGCGGTATATTGGGCATACAGGATGATGGTGAGCATGCATGCTAGTGGAACTGCGGAGGACGAATGCCGAACACGTGTGGTCAGAGTGGTAGGTGACAACGAGGGAGAGCAAGAGAGAGAAAGAGAGAGAGAGAGCGAGCGA